TCTCTCGCTCCCTCTCTCTCCCTCTCCCTCTCAACTCTATCTATCTCGATATCATACTTCTCCACTATCTCCCCTCCCCCCTCGCTACCTCCCTCTTTTTTCCCCGCTACTTTTCTCAAGTTGCCCCTAAAACCGTCGCTGTAATTCTAGGAGTAAGAACAACACGAAACAAATGAGCGAGAAAGAGAAAAAAAGAAAATAACATCCGGGGTCCGCTGAGTACGATGGGTTTAGCTTGTTGTTGATAAAAGAGACGTAATTAGAATAGTAATGAGAAATAGTAATTACACGTGATTGTCATTATAAAAAATGGAGGATGGAGCGTGGATTACTCATGCTCAGATTTGTTTATGTTTAGTGTGTTTATATAGTTGTTATTTATTTATGGTTTTAGTGTATAATTAATTCAGTAGACGAAAATAAAAATGTATAAATAAATAGATAAAAAGCAACGTACAAAATGGATTTATCAAGTTTTTTGTCTTCTACTACCTGTTTATTATTATTTTTTTATTATGATCATACAAGTTTTTTTGTTTTTATCTTCTTAAGGTATTATAGGAAATTTATTTTGAGAACAGAAAATGGTGGAAATGAATATATATTCGGACCTATTCCATTCTCAGAAAATGGACTCCAATTATTCACAGAAACGCTCTTGTTAGAAAAAATGGAGTCGCGGTCGGTCCATTCCATTGCCATCAAATGGACTCCAATTATTCACAGAAAACGACATCTTGTTAGAAAATGGGAATCTCGGGTTCGGTCCCGTTCCATTCAAAGAAAATGGACTCCCAATTATTCACAGAAAACGGCATCTTGTTAGAAAATGGGAATCGCGGGTTCGGTCCTATTCCATTCACAGAAAATGGACTCCAATTATTCACAGAAAACGACATCTTGTTAGAAAATGGGAATCGCGGGTTCGGTCCCCATTCCATTCCAGAAATGGACTCCAATTATTCACAGAAAACTGCATCTTGTTAGAAAATGGGAATCGTGGTGCTTGTAAAGTCTTCAAGAAAAAGTTCGTAAACCCATCGGCATGGAAGTGGGCATTTGACATTTGAGAGAAAGAGAGAAAGAGAGAGAGATTGAGGATATGAGAGAGGGGAAAAAGAAGAGGCAGAGGTGAAGAGGAAGGAAGAAAGAGAAGCGAGGATATGGAGAGAAGAGAAGAGAGAGTGAGGAAAAGAGAGAAAAGTAAACGAAGATGGGGGAAGAAGGAAAGAAGGAAATGGGGGAAGAAATGTGGACATTTCATGAAGAAAAGAAGGTGAAACGAGAAACGAAAAGTATATCAAAACAGATAAAATTGACAAAGAGAATAAAAGTATCAGAGAAGGTAGGATTGAAGTCAATGAGAGTGGAAGGAGCATTGAGAAGGGAGTGAGAGGGAGAAATAGAGACAAACAGAAGACAGAGAATAGATAGAGAATAAGAGAGTAAGAACAGAGAGTATGAAAGTAACGAGTATACATTCACATTCATTGTGGTGTATGGTAAATATATTGGATACATAAGCCAGCTCAACAGACATATTATATAAGAAAGTCAGAAGAAGGCAGCCATTTTTATATAAATCTTATGAGAATTGATGAAGATATAAGAGTTTCTATCCAGATTGCCGTTCTTTAGGATTAGTTATTTATGAACACAAGGCCGTCTCTCACTCTCCGCTCCTCTCTCTCTCTCTCCATCTTCATCTCTCTCTCTCCTCTATCTCTCTCTCTCAATCCTCATCTCACTCTCCTCTCTCCTCTCCCTCGCCCTCCCTCCCTCCCTCCCTCCTCCCCTCCCCTCCCTCCCTCCCTCGCCTCCCTCATCCCTTTACCTTTATTCCTTTTTTTCTCTCTCTTTCACTCTCTCCTTCCCTCCTCCCTCTCTTCCTCCATTCCCCTCTTGCTCTTCCCTTACCCCTCTCTCCTCTCCCGAATGCAACTTAGTGAAGGTCAAATGATAAACCCTCGGGCAAATAAAGAAGAATCACGTCGTTTGTTCACTTGCATTTCGTGATGAACTTCCGAAGTTTAGCTAAGTTTCCCCCTAAACACTTCAAGGGAAAACGGTAAATATTCTACAGCGCGGGAGAGAAACGAAGTTCTTCCTCCATTTACTCAGCTGTTTAATATCTTTAATCTAAGCACTTGGGATTGCTTTGGAATGGTTTTGAAATTGTCTGTCTGTCTGTCTCTTTTATTTTCTCTTTCTCTCTCGCTCTCTCTGTGTTTCTCTCTAAATCTCTCTATCTTTCTTTGCTCCCACTCCTCTCTCTCTACGCGGCTCTCTCTCACAACTCAACTCTCCGTCTTCTCCTCTCTCTCTCCTCTCTCTCTCCTCTCTCTCTCTCGTCTCTCTCTCTCTCTCTCTAACTCTCTCTCTCTATTTCTCTCTCCCTCTCTCTCTCCTCCTCTCTATTTTCTCTCTCCCACTCTCTCTCTCTCTCTCACTCTCTCCTCTCATCTCCTCATCTCTCCTCTCGTCTCCACTCTCTCTCTCTCTCTCTCCTCTCTCTCTCCTCTCTCTCTCTCGTCTCTCCTCTCTCGATCTATCTATCTATCTATTTTTTTCTCTCCTTCCCTCCCTAACCTCCCTCCTTCCCTCTCTCCCTCTCCCTCTCTCTCCGTCCTCTCTTTTACTTCCCTATTTCCACACCCTGTCCTTATCTATTTATCTATCTATCTATCTTTCATTCTCACTCTCCTCCTAAATCACCATCTATTTTTATCACTCTCAACTACCACCGATACGAAACAGGATAATTAAACAACGGACGAAGGAAAATAAATAGAGAAGAGAGAGAGAGAGAGAGAGAGAGAAGAAGAGAGAGAGAGAGAAGAGAGAGAGAGAAGAAAAGAAAGAGAAAGAGAAAGAGAAAGAGAGAGAGAAAGAGAAAGAGAAAGAGAAAGAGAAAGAGAAAGAAAGAAAAGAAAAGAAAGAAAGAAAAGAGAAGAGAGAAAAGAAGAAGAAGAGAAGAGAGAAGAGGAAGATCAAC